CAAGGTGACACCAAAGACACACTTATTCAGGTTTAGCTTCATATTGAATCTACGCAGGATTTCAAAAACTAAATTCAAGTCTTGTATTAAATCGCATGAGAGTTGGGTTTTGACGACCATGTCGTCTACATAACATTCTATCTTTTGGCCAATCAATGGCTCAAACAATTTGTTTACAAGTCTTTGAAAAGTCGCCCCAACATTTTTTAGCCCAAAGGGCATGACCTTGTAGTAGTACAGGCCAAACTCAGTTATGAAGGTAGTCTTTTCTTCATCTGTCGGGTCCATCTTGATATGATTGTAGCTCAAGTAGGCGTCTAGAAAACTCAACAACTTGTGCCCCGATGTCGCGTCCACCAGATGGTCGATTATGGGGATTGGGAAGCAATCCTTTGGGCAAGCTCGGTTCAGGTCGGTGTAGTCAACGCACATGCGCCATTTACCGTTAGCCTTTTTCACCAAGATGGGGTTGGCCACCCAACTCGGGTAATGGACTTCCCTGATAAAATCGGCTGCAAGGAGCTTCCCGACCTCCTCGTCGAATTTCCTCCATCGCTCTGGGGCTAGGTTACGTTTCTTCTTTCTAACGGGCCTAACTACATGATCAGTATTAAGTTTATGAGTTATGATGCTAGGGTCTATGCCGGGCATTTCTGCTGCAGACCATGCAAAAACATCTAAATTTTCAAGTAAAAGGCGTAATAGTTTAGATCGCAGGGGTTCCTTAATGGAAACACCGATTTGAAGAGTCCGAGCTGGGTCTCCCGCCGAGGCCGGGATGGAGACGGTCTCTTTTGTAAGCGCAGCTCACTCCTCGCTTTGCTCCATAGGTCACTCCAACTTAAGGTCATTGGCCAACTTGGTTTTTCCCTTTAGGGTAGCGACGTAGCATTTGCGAGACTCAAGTTTGTCACCTCGCGCTACCCCGATGTCGAAGTCCATGGGGAACTTCATGGCCAAGTAGTAGGTGGACACCACAATCCGTAAGGCATGGGTAATCGGCCGACCTACTAAGGCGTTATATGGGGAGGGGGTTGCGACCCCTAGGAAATTGTAGTTGAGCCTCACTATGCTAGGCCAGGTGTCGACTTCCACAGGTACTGTTACCCTTCCCAGGGGCCGAAATTCCTCTCCGCTGAAGCCTACTAGGGGAGTGTTCGCAGGCTTTAGGTCGAACTCTTGAAGCTGGAGTTGGTCGAAGGCCGCTTTGAAGAGGATGTCTGTTGAGCTGCCCGAATCAACAAGGGCACGCCTAACTTCGAAATCATTGATCTTCATCTTTATGACGAGCGCGTCATCATGGGGGTAGTGGACCCCGCGTGCGTCGTCCTCTTTAAAGAAGATGGGGTCTTCTGTCCTTGGTCGCTTCGGTGGGTTCCACTCTTCCCTGCCGGTCTCGCGAGCTGATGCGCAAGCTGCTACTGAGGTGCAGCCCACCACAGCCAAGATGGCCACTTCACGTACGGGGCGTCTTTGATCGCCATGAGGATCTCGGCCCGCTTTGCATGGAGGGGTGTATAGTCCCTTTCTGCTGCTGGAGCTCGGAAGGGCTGGACTGGCCTTGCCCCCCGAGTTGTGTCCTTCTTCTTCCTGTTGTCGCCTTGAGACGGGGGTTCTGTCTCCCTCTTTCTTTTTTTCTGGGGCTTACTCGCCCTTTTGTTTGATTTCCTCCTCTGTCCCTATAAACCAATCCGCGAGCTTGCGGAACTCGGTCACAGTCTTAGGTTGGTTGACAACTACGTGCCACTTGAATTCTTTGTGGGTGATGCCTCGCTTGGCTGCTGTGAGGCGAATCGCGGGATCCAGGTCGGTTATCTACAAACAAGCGTCATTGAACCGCTTGATGTAGCTCCGGATGGACTCCCCTTCCTTTTGCATTATGCCGAGGAGACTCTCATGAGTTCGCGGACACCTTTTGCTGGTGATGAAGTGAGAGGTGAAAACTTGCATGAATTGCGACCAACTTCTTATTGAGCCGGGCGCGAGGTTTCGGTACCAAGTGTGGGCTACTCCTTTGAAAGTGGTGGAGAAGGCCACACACATGCAGGATTCGCTGGCTCTTGCCAGGTGCATTTGGGACTAAAAAGCGTCCACGTGGTCATTTGGATCGAAAGACCCATCGTACTTATCCAGAGGAGGGAGCTTGAAATCCCTTGGCATGGGGATAACGAGGAGTTCTGGAGATAACGGGGAAGAGACTGAGAGGAGAGGGGTAGCTTCCACTTCACCTGAGCATGCCTCCTCTTTTTCTTTGAGCTCGTGAAAGACTCGAGTAGTAGTTCAGCGAGCTCGATGACGTCTTCACTGCTGCTTTGTTGGCTTGGTGTTGGTGCTTGACGCTTCAGTATCGCCGAGCTCAATAGGCTCAGACCGCCAGTGGTGACTCTGGACCGAAGGGCCTTGCCTATAGTTTGTGGCCAGGACCTCGAATGGATTGTCCGTGAGCGGGAGCTCGAACTGCAAAGGCGGGGGTGAAACGGGCTTGGTTGGCTAGGTGGCCCCCGACCTGCCTACAGACTGTGAGGTGGGGGTAGTTGGACTCTCCTTGTTGCTATGGGAGGAGGCTTGGCTCTTGGCAGGATCCTGAGCTTGGGAGGCCTCCTCCCGGCGAGGAAGTCGCTCACTTCGGCGGGAAGGCTTGGTCTGCTTTGTGGCCGGATGCCGAGGGGGGAGCGACGGTTAGGCCTGAGGCAAAGAGGGGAACTGTTGCTGGTACTGGTACTGGGAGACCTGGTGCAACACTTGTTGTTGGTAGAGTTGGAATTGTTGAAATTGTTGCATTTGAGCCTGTATGGCCCGCATGCACTTCATTAAGTCCTCCAACTGGTTTGGGCTGGCCGCTAGGGGCACAACCGAGGGTTCGACAAAGGTTGCTCCAACTGTGGAAGAGAGTGGAGTGACCGCGGGTGCCATTGTAAGAGGCACGTTCAAACTGGGGACTCCGTCCACAGAGAGGGGAATGGTGAACTATCCAATACAGACAGTAGGAAGCTGGGGCTGCTCCCCAAAAGCGTTCTGATTGGTGCCACATCCGGCATTGCTGGAAGAAGCCATGAATGCTGAGTTTTTTGGAAGAGAAACTGTGTAAGCTTAGAGGAAGGCTTTTAGAAGCGTTCTCACAGACATCGCCAAATGATGCGGCACGATTCGGGCACTCCAAGCTGGCTGCTGACTGGCTCCTTGTTGGCAACGAATGACACCTGAGAAGAGGAAGATGAAGGATTCTCGGGGGATTTGCCTGGCAGGAATATTTCGAAGCTTAAGTTAGAACACTAGGGAGGAAGAAAAGAGTGTAGGTCGCGCTAGATCACCATGTCTCAAGATTAGCTCGTGAGTAAGTAAGAGTTCAAGTTTAGATCTAATCCGTGAGAGAGTTCTCCCCTTTGATAAGAGGGCTTTTATAGGGGCGTTCTTGTTAAATCGGGCGTAACTGCCACTGGGTTCCTGTCGCAGTCGTTACCTGCCAGGGCTGCGTAGGTGATCATTACAATGTACTATCCGCTTGGATGAGTGACACGTTTTAAAGGGACAGACACACCACCATCTATCGAAAGACGTGGGTGCAGACTGTCAAATAGGCAGGGACTGCGCCGTCTGTCAAGAGACGTGGTGCAGTCTAACGAGTATGGTCTTGTCAGATAGAAGCTTCCTGAGAGCGTCGCGTTGCTTAGTTGCGAGTTACTTTGTAGCGAGCTACCCTGTCGCGCAGCGAGCTACTTTGTAGCAAGCTCTTAGGGGTTTTTCAAGGTGACCCTCATCAAGGTTGGTCTTTGGGGCAGTTCTTGCTGAAGCGAGCTGGTTTCCCTAGCTCGCGAGTTGAAATAGTCTTGGAGTATTCCCTTCTTCTCGGTAGCTCTGGGGACCTGGAGCTCGCGTTATAGCGAGCTATGACGTAGCGAGCTGCTCTACAGGCTCGTTGCTCCTGCCGAGTCAGATCCACATGTTCGTCTCAGTAGGTCGGGTCAAATCATCCTCCATCAAATGGTATTGGGAGAATGGGGATTGGGAGAGCGACCGTATCATGTGTCGGGTTGTTAATTGTTAGAATTTAAGGGCCGGTGTTAGTAGTCCAGTCCCCATGGACTGACCAGTTGGTGAGTCAAAGGGTTGGTTGTTTGTTGTTTGTTTTTACGTGGATGGCCTGGCTTGGCACGATGCCTCACTTCGGCTTTGTCAAGGGCAATATGGAAAACCGAACCCATTTCCCATGCCTTGCTTGTGGTTTGATCTATTCCCAAGAAACAAAGGTGGCTCCAAAAGGGTTTCAACTTTCAAGTAGACCCGATCGTGCCTTGCACTTCAAAACTTTTTATGAAAATTGATATTTTCTTTCTCGGTGATAGAGAGCTTGGGGTCTGTTTCATTTCTTGAGGAAGAAGATGATGAACGATGAATTTTATTTTCAATGATAATTTTGATATTTTCAAAAGTTTTAATCGCACATGAGGTCACACATTTTAAAAATCGGGAACAAAATTATCACTTGAACCAAAGTAAAAAGTACTGATCGGAAATTTTCTCGAGTTTTTTTGGTACCTATGAACAAGTCGATTAACCGTTCAAACGGTTTTGATCGTTTTTTAAAATTTTTAATTTTTTATTTTTTTGTCAGAACGAGCTAACTGTTCGGATCGACCATTTGACCCGATAACCGGACCCCTGACCGGTTCGATCACCGGGTCGGTTTTAAAAACCATGATAAAAAATTTGAATTTTGAAAAAGAAAAAAAAAACAAGATTCATTTTACGTGCGGATATAAAGGTCATGCCCAAGATCTTTTCCTGGCCCCAACAGCCAAAATATAAGACCCCGTAGGTGTAGCGTTTGATTTGAGAGGACCGTGGCGGCGAATTCCGTGATGCTATCATACGCCCAGAAAAAAGGAGTAAAAAATGTAAAGAAAAGTTGGAAAAGTCGCCCTGCTGTAGTAGACAAAACTGCCCTTTTGTTCTCCGCCATATTACTCTCTCTCTCTCTCGCGTCGTCTCCACTCTCCATTAAAAGTCTTTATTCCATCTGGGGTTCTAATTCCCTCGCGAGGTTGCCTCTGGCCTCTCAGTCGATCCTCTTCAGGTAACCCAATTCTATATGATTTTCGTCAGATCTCGCCAGGTTTTCTTTATTTCCATTTCCATCAGATGTTATAGTCTCCGACTCCCATTCTCTTTTCCTTTTCTATTTTTATTCTTTGGCCGAAGAAATCAACAGAAAAGATCGACTCAAATGGCTGCCGGCCGAGCTATTCAGCACTTTCTGAGGAGGAAGCTCCAGCCGCAATATAATGTAAGAGTCTGTCTGCTTATTTCCTTTTCCTTATTCCGATTTCTATATACCTTCTAGGGCATCACCCTTGCTAATCTCAGTCAGTTTAACTGGGACTTTTCTGTCTGGGAAATCTTAGAAATCTTAGAAGTAATAATCAGCCTATATGCACCCGTGATATATTTGAAACTCAAGGCCCAATTAATAATAACTATTTTTCTTTTGTTTTTATGTTCGGTGCAGAAGCCCTTTAATTGATTGTTGTATCGGAAACGGCCATAACGATTTATTCTTTTCGTTTTATAACGGCATCAACAGATTCGGTAATGCCTGTTGAGCTAAAAAGCGGGACATTCTATAGCTTATTAGCTCTTATTCTACTCGTTATGAATGTTATTTTTTTTCTAATTTATAATGTTTTTCATATTTTTTGTTTTTTTCTTTTCAATCTGGATTCTGTTGTGCCCGACAGTCATTCCATTTTTATTAAGGTTCTCAAGAAAATGCTTATCTGGATGTCCGGAATTTAGCACTCTGGAGGAATAGTCAAATAGATATGTCAACAATTTCGAAATACCTCTTCCATTTCTAAATCTCTGATAAGAACACCAATGAAATCTGCAAGCACACTTCACTTGAGTGGACAAGTATTAAATACACGAGGGAAAGCCAATGGAAAGGGGAGTCAACCAATGGTAAATATTTCAGAAATTTGATATGAAGATCATTACCATATGCAGACTAAAGGAAGAAAAACCTGGTGGACCAACACTCTAATGGAACTCAAGGCTTCCATAGTTCTCTTTTCATTTTCTTTGTTTTTTTCTGCTGGAAATTTCTTTATCCCCAACGACTAGAACCGAAATTTGTATGTGCTAATAAACAATTTACAACTGACACACTGCTACTAGGGGTGCAAGTTGGGTATCCGATTTGAAGAATTTACATCAAAATTTAACAAAACCCCAACCTGAACCCCACCCAAGTTGCACCCTTACTTTTCCTTGGACTTCAAATTATCCTTATTAGGTTAGTTATTTTCTGTAGGATGTTTTCTTCCCATAAAAGCTTTTCTCTGAAACAGTTCTGACCCATCCACTGTGTTGGGCCCCAAAAGAGGGAGAGATAATATACAGGTATAGTGTCTTGTTTTTGAGCTTTAGTAGAAGTCTTTTGGTATAATGTTATACAATACATGGCATGTGAACATGCAATTGGGGGAGGCATGCTTGTACAATATAAGGATTTTGTAGGTATATAATATATAAATATCTTATCTATTGCATGCATATAATACATTAATATAAAGTACATATTGGAAAGACTGCACTAATAATTATTTGGAAACGATGCAAATAGAGTGTGAATGCAAATATGCAGTGTAAAACGGTTCATACAAATGCAAAGTTGGGTTAGCTTTACATTGATAAATTTACCTTCTTACCGAACAGTTTTTTAGCTGTAATGGATGCAAATAGAGTGTGAATGCAAATATGCAGTGTAAAACGGTTCATACAAACGCAAAGTTGGGTTAGCTTTGCATTGATAAATTTACTTTCTTACCAAACAGTTTTTTAGCTGTAATGGATGCAAACATGAAACCCAATAAAATATATGCCTTTTTTAACAAAAGCCCACATTGAATGCAAATTTACTTCTTTTTTTATCAATGTACATTTACATCTCATTTTCGATGTAAACATGCATTTGAAAATGTGTTTTCTGTCATTTGTCAATGCATAACTGCACTCTTGCCAAAGACTGGCGAAACTGAACCAGAGTACATATTTACCCTGAACCAGGATTTACACTCCATTTGCATAATTTCCAAACAGAACCTTAGACACTTTAGTCCAAGTTGATTCCCCTAAACATTATTAGGTATTGGTAATTGTTAAGTGTTAACTTGGTAAAAATAGTTGTCAAGGCATGAGGCTTAAATGTTATGAGATCTCACTTTCAAGAAGAAACGAACTAAAATGTGAAAAAGTATAGAACTGTACAGAAAAAAGAAAACTTTTTATAAGAAGAAAGGAAAGATGGATTTGCTCTCGTTTAATGAAATGCCATATCTTTCTTAAAAAATAAATGAAGGTAAGGTTATTATTATCCTTGTCATCCCACCAAAATCCACTGCTCAAAATCCCATAATCAGGTTGCAGTCTTGCAGACTGACCAGTGTTGCATGAATATGAACATGGGAGTTGGAATCTGATGTTTTTCCTAGAGTCTGACTTGGAAAAGTGAGAAAACATGGATTGGTGGGCACATCTATGGAAAAGTGTATGCTTTTAAAATAGTTCCTTTTTTTTTTTGAATTCTAACATTATATATTTGTGAGGTCTCTAAAATCTTGCCTTTTTTTACTTATGTATGGAAAGTGATTTCATTTATTAGGTTGCCTATTATGTAAATGAAACAACATCTCCTAATATTTGTTTCTTATGGATGGCAAGTGGTGAAACTACTTTCCACTTGCTAATCTCCTAGCATTTACTTCTGGAATTTGGGAATTGGGGGCAATTTTTTGAYCTCTTTGGATGTAGTTGGTCTTTACCAAGGGATATATAGAGTCCTTTCAAACATAGTTTCTACAATCCCAAGAAGAAATGAGGTAGAGTGTTGTGTAGGAGCATTAGGGCGGTTGTACTATGGTCAATTCGGGAAGAAAGGAACTCTCAATATTTCAAGGAGAATCACTCAAAAAAGCATTGGTGGATAATGATTAAGTAACAAATTAGGTCAAAGTAACTCCCCTTATTCAAACATTTTCTTTTTATTGTTGACATAACATGTGGATCAAGCATGAAGAAAAAGATGTTGTAGAGTTCAAACACGTTTTTAGGAGAAGACCCTGGGCTGGAGAAGAGGTTAGGCAATTTGGAAGAGGTCAAAGAGGTTGCATAGGTGAATCAACCTTTAGTTTGTAGTGGTTCATCTGAGAGAGTTTCTAGTCAATATCAATTTGAAGAAAAGCCCTTTAAAGGACCATCGAGATGTTGGGAATGAGGTTAAAGTGAAGGAGAGGTTGTTATCGTTGCACATGAGTTGGTTGCAAAGGTAGCAATAGGTGGATTTGGTGAATTTGATGGGCTCTAGAAAAATAAAAAAGATGGAAAAGGAGAGAGGAACAAACATTGAGGTGGACAATAGCGGTTCAACTGCTGAAGTAACAGGGTTGAAGAATTTGAAGAAACTGAAAGGGTAATGGTGTTAGATGGAACCTTCAGATTAAGTAGTATGTGAAGAAAACAGTGTGGGAAGAAATGAGAATTTGGAAGGGTTTGAAGGAACAATTGTTGCGAGGAATTATGTTGAAATTGTAATAGGAAAATTGGGCATGGATTTAGGGAGAAAGAGATCAGAAGTTTGTGTGGATGGGGTGATAAAAGGGGATAAAACCAAAAAGCAAAATCTCTTTGAAGCCAAGAAGATTAAAGGGATTAAGCAATTGTCAGTTGGTTCATGTAATGAAGGTTTTCTCTTGGTTGAAAGATGGCCTCTTTCGAGTTGGTCCTTGCAACAAATTTTAGAGGATGTATAAAAGGAAGAGGGGGAAAGCCAAAGCCAGAAATAACATTGAGGAAGATGAAGGTTTATCACTTCAAGCCTTTTTGAAGATGGGGGATCTGTTACTAATGAAATATAACCTGGGGAACCAGAATCAAATCATAATAAGAATGGTTCAGATCAAGAGGAGGAAGGTTCAGAGTAGGGGTGATCATTATTGGCCCCCTGACCCAGCCTGCAAATTTCAGGGCCTGGGCCCAAATTTTTGTGTGCAAGCCCGACCTGCAATATAATATAATATATATTTTTAAATATAAATTATATAATATACCTATTATATATTATATACACGTATATTTTATTTTATATAAAATATAAAAATTTTAAGTTTTAACATATAAATAAATATTAGTAAGTTGACACATGCCAACACTTGTGAACACTTGAGCCAACTCAAGTATGTGAATTGTCCTAGGCAAGGCCTTCATTGTCATCGCCTAAGCAATGTGGGACTTGGAAAAACACTTAATGGTAGCACTCACTATTTAGTGTTGTTTCAAGTCCCACATTGCTCAAGAATGGGAATGGAGGCCTTGGCTTCATCTATAAAAGGATAGGTAAGCCAAGCCAAACCAACTCTAGGAATTAAATTAGGCCCACACCTTTTTTTTTGTGCGTAGGCCCAAAGGTTAGTCAAGCCCAATTTAACTTGGGTTTGTTCCATATTTTTTTTGCATGTATTACCTTTTATTTAATTTAAAAATTTGAATAATCAAATTTTTATTATTTGACGTCATGGGCTCAAACTATTACTCATTAGGTAGGGCTCGTGTAGGGCTGGGCTTGGGCTTCCTATCTAGGCCTGGGGTGTGGGCCTAGGCTTAGGTTAAAGCCCTTGTGATTGATGCTAAACTCAGCCTGCCATGATCACCACAAGTTCAGAGTTGCAGGACAGTAATGATGATTAGGTTGTGGATCAAGTAGGAGAGGTTAAGAAGAAAATTGGGCTGGAAGAAGTTGTTGATGTAGAAGTTTGAGCGAGTAAAATTGTGTCTTTTCTTCTTGGGTGGGGAAGAGTTTGCTAGAAAAATTTTCATGGAATTGGAGAAGGGAAGGAATGATAAAGCCAGTGAACTAGGAGGTTGAGGGAGGGGTGGGGGAATGGGACGGGTTCTTTTAAATGAGTTGGGGGATCGGTTGTTTGGGTAAGGATTCAAGGATTGACAATTAAGGTTGAATTGGGATTTAACTTTGTTTTTCTTTTGGGTTGATATTTGTGGGTTGGTTTAAGGTTTTGATGGGTGATTTTGGGTTGTTTTCGTGAGATGGGTGCCAAAAGCTTGGTCTAGATCTACATTTTTGGGGTTCTGTTTCACACTTGGTGCTTACAAATGTTTCAAGTGGTGGGAGATGCATGTGAGAGCTTCAAAAAGATTGATCAAAGGACAAATAGATGGAAGGTTTTTGACAATGGCGTGAATCCTAGTTGAAGTTGAAGAAGTTCATTTGGTCCTTTGTCTTTGTTGCTGAAGTTTGTTGGGAGAGCTACGATTTGAGACTAGTGGTTAAAGGTTGCATTTCGTTGCATTGGTGTGAGGAATTGCCATTGATGGAGATTGATCGAAGGTAGGAAACAAAAGGTCGAATGCCAAGGAGGGGAAAGTTGAAGGGTCGATAGAATGTTTTTCTGGAGGTTAAAGATGGGTGTCTTTTTGGGAAATAAAATTTATTGCAATGGTGAGCTGGTAGATGTTTCGAGAATCGAGTTGGGCTCGACTTTGATAAGTTATCAAGAAATAAGTGGGGTCAAGAG